GGCAAAAGGAATATATAAATATGTTACAAGCATTTTGCTGACTCGGTGTACTTGTGCTATGATTTTTAAAGTACTACTTCATCTCTTTAGTATACCTGAACTTGATAAACTGCTATCTTCTCTGCATCTATTACTAAAGTTGAACATGAAATGCTAGAGTTTTAAACATGAAATGCTAAAATGAACGTGAAATACTAAAGTTGAACGTGAAATAATGTAAATGTAATAATATAGGCATGTAAAGAATAAATAGTAAATAATGTAAATGTATAGGCATGTAATAAACCTTCTTGATAAATAGTATGGCAGTTTACTAAAGGAATTTAAATAGAATGAACTAATAATAATTAAAATTTCTAAACGAAAATTAAATTGCACTTAAACAGATTTCAGCTAATTTTACAGTACAGTGGAACCTCAATCTATCATTCTTCAGTGCTGTGGTTAAAAAAAAGATGAATGCAAGAAAAGAGTAGGTCTAAGAATATTTACGTATTGTAAACAAATAACAGTTATTATTTTCAATATGCAACTGCATTAAAAATACTGCATTCTAGTGAAAACGCTGAAAGCTATCTGTTGCTTCTTGGCTAAATTTTGCCTGAATTGAAGGTACTGTTTCTTAAAACTTAAAATATTTTCATGGTCCGTGTTGATTTGAGCAGGAAAAATCACTTTTCTTAAATGTTTCGCAAATCTCAGGGAAGCTCGGCATTACATTTCGTTTTCACGTTGTCTTCTTCCTTACCCTTTATACATTCAAAGCCCGAAAACCTCTGTAAACTAATAAAAATATATTAATGAAAACTAATACGTATCAACCTATTGCAACTCGTTACAAAATAGCAGCCAGTTAAAAACAAGTGCCTTAAGTTTAGGTCACGTGCGAGGCATCTCTGTTTTTTATACACGATATAATGTTCTTCATTCGGTACCAAAAATGACAAAAAGAAAAATTATTCTTTGCTGGAATGATAGATCAAGGTTCTAATGTACGCGGATACTCGAGCAAATTCCTTTGATCTAGGTTATGAGTAGATTACTCATATGACCTTGAAGCATTTTTAAAATTCATAATAAATAATCTACGCAATCAGTGCTAAATTTTATTATGCGGAAATAAAAGTGAACACATTAATTTGATTTAGGTACTGTTTCACAAATGCTCAGGTTATCTACTTTTGTTGATATAGCAGACGTCATTGCGTCTGTGAGAGACTTACTTAGACAAGGTGTATGGTGTATTTTAATTATGGCAAAGCACACTAGGGCTATTTACCTAAGGGGATGGATGTCTTCGTGGAGGACTTTCTACGGGAAACTGCCTCGTATACACGTTACACATGGGAAAAACCACTTACTTAGACAAGATGGCCTATGTTATAAGTGAATAAAAATATTGATGAATATTTATTTGAATATGGTACTTGTATAACAATATCAACTGGGTATATTAATATACATATAATGTACATTAATATGCCCAGTTGATATTGTTCAGTTTAACGCATCAGAATAACTTACTCTTATTCTACTAAACCTCCTCACTCTTTGCTATTATTCTACTAAAGTACCATTTATATCCAAGTTTGCACCGACTTATGCATAAAACATTGCTAAAAACCTCATTCAGCACAGTCAAAGTCTTGACAGGGTCTCTTTAATAACCACAGGTCACAAATACTCATCTTCCGAAGTAACTTTATAAATTCCGCTACAAGTTTTAATATTCTATAGAGATTTTTGGCTAGGCCTAACGACAATAGAATGCTCTACCAACTGGGTCCAAATGCTGATAGTCATATAATAAAGTCTTGAAAGGGTCTAATAATTACAAGTCACAAATACTCATCTTCCGAAATAACTTTATAAATTTCGCTACAAATGTTAATATTCTATAGAGATTTTTAGCTAGGCCTAAAGACAATAGAATGCTATACCAATTGGTATAAATGCTGATAATCATATAATAGGCGGTACAGCAACTCAGCTCGTGATAAGTAAGTAAGCGTATCTTGGCTAAAGTTTTTTCACAAATATAAAGACCATTTGTAAACATGAGACTATCTCTAAACACGAGAATATCCCAATCAAAATGTACCAGTGCTAAGATGACGCACAGTGCAGTATCAATCCAGTGTTTAGATTAATCATATTTGATTCTGTCCCATATTAATCTGGAAGCCGCAGTATCGGCTGTCGTCGATCTTGATGTACTGGCATGGACACGGGACGAATTGGATTACTGGATGTCTGCCGCATCGATGTCTACCATATCGGCAAACATCGAGCATTTGTGAAATGTGTAAAAGCGATCTTGATGAGTTTACCTCTGTTTCAAAGCGATGAAATTTGGTATCAGTTGCGTAATTTATTTGTTAGGAATTTTTAAAATATTTCGCGGAATTATGAATAACTCTGTGCAGTTTACTATTTCTCATGCATTACAAATATGATAAATACAATTTGAGAATAATGTAAATGTCATTTTAATAAAAATCTTTGGCGCATTTCTTACGCACCTTGTCTATAAATATGTAAGAATGAAAAGTATTTTGATAGGTCAATATTATTAATTATATACCAAACAATAACTACAGTTTCGCATTTTTTATATATTAAAGATTCAAGTCGTGTATGTTTGGCCATTACAATTGCTGTACCCATGAGAGAGATCTTTAGCAGTTTCTTAAATTTGTCTGTAAAGATATCCAAAGCAAAGATTTTAACAATTTATCAAATTCTTATTTTAGTCTGTTGTATACCATATCTGTTTACTGCGCATTGATTAAATCATATCGAATCATAAACTGGAAAGTAACAAAATTATTTATTGTGCTAAGTTTGAAAAACATACTTTATAGGAAAATTCTAAACTATTGCATTTTTAACTGCTACATTAATTTGAACAAGAAAATGCTTAAAATTGTCAAAATTTTAATTGAGTATTTAGTAATCGCTGTATTAATTGAGTGCTGCTAAATATAATAAACTACAGAGAATCATTACAAGAAGATGTGATATTTTTAGATGCAGCTATCTTTTAACACATTACACCTATATGAACGGCTTTAGTGTCGAACAATATCATAAGCCTCATGGCCGTCCCGGAACAGACTACTTTATCAACGCATTCATTAATTAAATATTCTCCAGAGCCGATCAGGAGATCTGCCAGAATTAGAAATTCATCAAAAGGGAATAGGAAAAGGTAAATTACATTTTAAAACTCTCATGAATTAAATCTAATCTGCATCATTTTCATAGAAGTTCCCCTTCCACATTTATGCACCGATCCACCATGAGTGGCATATTTCTCGAAAGTCTTTTAATTGAAGTGCATTAATCTGGAATTCGAAAATCCTCTAAGGTCATCCTAGGGGACAAAAGGTTTGTTTCATAATTAACAGCAGAGTCAAAACAATGTGAATAACTTCAAATTCATCATAACCAGAAGGTCAGTGAAAGCTAGGATTGTTATAAACCACAGTGAGAAATTTAAAACCGCTTTGTTTTTCATTTAAGAGAAATTGTGCAGTTAGAATTCATCCACCGTTAAGAGACTACTAACGGAGCGTTTTATTATACTGTTAAAGCCTGCTGAGGGAGGACACCGGTTGCACAGGAGCTCTGTAATCTGAGGATGAGAAATGATTGCATCATATCAGAGTATTTTGAAGATGCCACAATTTTTTTTTTTTTTTTTTTTTTTTTTTTTTTTTGTGGAAACAAAACTCGCAAAAGTGTTTTGTTTCGTATTAACCAGATTTAGCATCTTGCGACTTTTTTTTAGTCTTAAACCTAAATTCAATAGTCCCTGTAAGTAAAATTCAGAGTTACATACTCAAGGACTCCATTCCGGATATGGATTCCTGTAGTATTTACATGATTCCTTGCCTGTGTGGTTTAATTTACATTGGTTTTAGGAAAAAGGAAACATATAAATTCTCTGTTTCCCAGCATTGTTGGTCCGAAAAATAACACTTTCAATTTTTCTGCAGCCAAAATTATTCAAAAAACATCTTTCATTAGTGAATTAGATTTTCTAGAGGCGTTTCACATTCAAAAAATATCTTTCTGTCCTAGTTAACGACCGTAATTCCAGTCCACCTTTACCTTCAGCCTTTAAGGAAATTACATTTTAGTTCTCGTTTCATCAATAGATGGCGCCAGTAGCTTAACTCCTGTCCACCAATCTTATCTTATCTCGTTCATTTGCGCTTTGGCAGCTGAAGATGATGGTTCAGTAAAACCATGGAAGCTAGTCCTGCGAAAATTTGCAAATATAAACGCTGATTCTAAATGAATAGTCCCTGTTTTGATTCTGCAAAATGAAATTAAGGCTTAAAGAGAAGGGATGATCATGTACACTTTTATTAAAATACTTTTAGGAAATGCTCTAGTTACAAGGAAATGTTGGCATCTATGCGTAAATGCAAAAATCCCTGATTAATAGAGACAAATTAAATTTCAAAATTCTTTTAGAGTTGTAATTTTTCAAAATACGAAATATGAAAAGATATCTGCATTTAAAAATATGTCGTCCTTTTGTGATGAATCTGTACACTGAACTGCGAAATGAATGCTCCATTATAAAATTATCAGTGTTAAATTATTCATCACCAGAAGATGACGTTTAAAAGTGTTAAAACAAGAAAGATTCCTGTGTTCTAGGAATTAAGTAAGTTAAACTTGCATGACATCATCATTTTCAATTATGGAAAATAATAAATTGCAAAATTCAATATTTTAATAACGTTTGGGTGTTCGATTTTTCTCATCGAACAGTTAAGTTCAGTTCAAAAGGCTCTTAAACGTACTAATTTGGTTTAATAAAGAACAAATGTTATTAGAAGTAAATTATTTTAATATAAAGAAACAGGAAAAGAATTTTTTGCGTGGCAGTGGTGAAAAATCCTAGTGTACTGTAGTTTGATGAAAAATGACGAAAATTTTATCCTTTGTTTTTGACCCTTTTTCCTTTTGTTTTTTTCCCCCAGCACTGGACACTCCACAAAAGGGTGAGTAGAAATATCAATACCTTACTCTGTCCCTCTAGCACCTGCACATCCTTCGCAATCCTGACCTCTTCCCTCTTTTTCCTTCTCTGCAACTTCTCATTTCGCCCTGTTTCAGCTTCAGAATTATGAAAAAAAAATCCTTTGTATTTATGAAATAGACTGAATAGACTCAATCATTAATGAACGGAACAGTTAAGTTAAAAATAAAGAACATAAGATGGGTAGGATCTAATTTGAGGTTCTTCAGAATTAGACTGAAAAGCAAACTTACTTTGTCTTCACTTTGAAAATTTGAATCATATAACAAACTGACAACTGAAAGTAACAATTCAGTAAAAGAAAGATGAACTTAATCCCGAACGTGAGAGAAATGTTTCACAGGAATATTAGCAGTCTAATTAAAAAAAAAAAAAAAAAAACTATCAATTTTTTATATCTATTCCAGTGTTTCTTCAGTCATTACAATCTCTTATTGTCGGTTTCGTAGGTGCGTTAAAATTAAAAGACAGGTATATATTCAATAAGATTTCATTCACAGTCATTGCCAAATCATTACGCTTTAATTTATCAATATACGCTACGCGGCCAGTCTTCGTCTGGCCTTTAATTGTACCAGAAAAATGCCTGAAGGGAACACCAAACGTTAAATTTAAAAACTGAGCAGAGTTTTACTCTGCAGAACAACTTTATAAAAAAATTTTAAATGTATTACATACAGCAAAATTACAATGAAATAAGCAATATCCCTTAATACAAATGTTAATTATCGTAATAAATAAATTAACCATGTATGATTCCCCACTGTGTAATTCTCAGTTGAATGTGAAGAATCTTAAGAACTAGTAAGCGAATAATCGTTTGAGTTCGTGAGACAGTAAATAAACTTGGAAAGACGTTAAAAGACCCTTTATTATTCAAAATAAATTTAACAGAACTCCGTCTTGGAGTTGTACAATAAAGCCGACACTCGGGCTTAAGAAACTAAGAATTAAACTAAACTACTATTAACTAAAGGAGACATAGCCGAAGCTATCAAGATTCTAACCGAGTTGGCCCCTTAATGTTGAATAACGGCAACGCTATCAAGGGCTTAAGGTACGGCCGAACGTAATAATACCTTAAGAGAGAGTGGCCTATAAAGGCGGACGCACGCTAGTCAGAATCACTGGTTCTCTCTAACGAAGTCAGTAGAACTTTCATTTGCATTCAACCGAGATTATAAAAATACTTTCTGGCCGGAAGTTGTAAGCTTGAAATTAAGAAAGGATAGGAAAGTAACTCAATTTAACTGTTAGGTAAATTAACATAAGCCTTACAAGTTGATAATAACTTTACAGAAGCATGTGTCGGTGAAGCTGTGCTGCTTTAATTGCGTAAGATTACTACTTAAGAAATGTCTGCCAAAAATATAAATGCAATTAAAGGACAACAGAACTATCAGATTTTATTAATAGAATATATCTGCGGAAATGGCTTGTTGAGGTGGTACATGGGGTTGTTTGAGCGGTAGATAGAAGAGTTCTTCTGGCGTAAATCATCATTCTCCGAGTAGGTTCCCATCCGTGTAGGATCTGTGCATCGCTAAACGAGCACGAAGCTCGTTGATATGCATATGTATGAGGAAGCGGATGAGCAGGGGCGGAGCCAGAGGGGTTGACATCTTTCCCCGGGCGCAGCATCCAGAAGGAGCCAAACTCACGTTACGAAATTTTAGAACTACATATTTTCCATTCTTAGCAAGCTAGAGGGGACGCGAAATTTTCAGTTGTCCTCGGGCGCTGAACTCTGCGGGTGGGAACTAAGAAAGTACTTGGGATTCATTCTTTGTGCCTTCTTTTGAATAGCTGATCTGTTTTAACCATAGTCATCTTGTATAGAAGTTCCCAACTACTTTGCAGCTTTCTGAGATGAAAATTCATCGCGCTGAAACAGGAAAACACATAATAATTCCGAATTTTCCCTTTCCCTGTATATGAACAGAGTCAAAGGAAAGAGGTTTCTCGAAAGGGAGTAAGAAAGAAATGAAGAATACGCGTTATAATTTGATTTAAGAAAAGCCATTCATTAGTTTCTTTTGGCAGAAAACTGAAGATTCCATGATGCTTACTCCCAGTCTTGTTGCTAAACATTCCCGGTACATTTAAGAACATATAATTTAGGTACGATTTTCGTTTGGTTTATTTAATTATGGCAAAGCACACTAAGGCTATCTGCCTAAGGGGAGTGATGCCTTCGTGGAGGACTTTCGAAGATTTGTGTAATGGAATCTGAGCTGATTGAGCTGTTCCTTTATCAAGCTGATCAGTTTTTTTTTTTAATTTTCCAATTGGATAGTATGATATTTAATTTGAGGAAATTGGATTTTAAATTATGAATACGATCGGTTTAAGTAATTGGCGTTTTTAATATTTAGTGAAAATTGACCTGGGGTTTGAATAGCATAGATAAATGACAAATTATCCGATTTAATACATTTCATAGGTTACGGAAAACTACAATTTTTATCGATTTTCTTACAGCATGGAATTAAGTTTAAACAAACTTTCGTCAGGATGGCTTTCCGGTTTCTCAGGTGCATAATCATTCAATATAAAATAAATGTCACAACCTACATGGCCGCCAAGTTTCTATCCATACGAATGAGGCCCATCCATTTCAGCGCAAACCGCTAACTAGTCTTACGATAGCTCACTTTTCCTACTTTTAATGTCTTTTTAAGTTACATAAGTTTGAACTTAAAATACATTTTAAATTTTATTATTACTGGATTATTTTATAATCTAAAGTTTTGTTCAAATCAAAATAGAATTTCGTAGATCGTAAGTTATCCTTCATTAAGAAAATTTGTCGGTTTACGGAAAATTGGAACAAGTTCGGCGGTAGTACTTAATCCATTAAAAAAAAAAGAAGAAGAAGAAGAAGAAAGAAAGAAAAGAAAAAGGAAAAAGCTAGTTCCTCGAGCGAGCTTTTTAATATGAGATTTGAGATTACAGACTTGCAGCGTGATAGGGATTCAAAATAAAATTGCTTAGCTGTGAACAAATTCGAAAATTTTACAATACTCTCAATTCGAAAACATTCGACGAGGAATTTTTCAAGAGAACTACAGATTACTTTTGAATCACCGTACATATGTGAATAAATATTTTCTATCATGAAAAGAAAAGTTTCTCAATCAAGCAACATCAACAAGTGATGATCATCAGTAAGTTTTACGATCTAGTATATTCATTCTTGCCAAGCAATTTTAAGAGTATCTGTGGTGAAATTAATACTTTCAGTTAAAGAATAATGATGAAAGAAGTGGAATAGAAAAATTTGTCTCATTAAATTGTAGATTATTATTAAAATTATTTGACAAAACATCACTGTTAATTAAAAGTATAATGTGTATTTATTTTTGTAATTAAGGCACACTAATCAAAGAAATAAGAAAGAAATGTTTTATAAGAAATGAGACTAGGTTTTATAAAATTTTAATGCAATGTTCGTATTTAAACATACTGCCCTTAAAGCGATTTAAGTATAAAAAGACAATTTTATTAACTGAAAATTTACACAACGAAGATTACGCGGAAAAAAAAAAAATAAACGAATGAAATTAAAGAAAATGAGTTTCTTTACAGAAATACTGGTTTAGTTTACAGAAAATTTTCCCTCCGTAATCCCCCCCCCCATTTTCACAAAATTTCGCACCTTAAATGAAGAAACTTTATTATTCAAAGTAATACCGTAAAATAATTTTAAAATGAGTATACCTTTAGAATTTCGGATACACAGTCTCGCGTGCTGGAGATACATATGTTTTATTTTCCGTACAGTGTTGTCATTGCTCGCTTTGAAATCGTTGAGTTTGTTAATGAAAAATTTGTTAAAGTGTTAAAAAATATGAAATTGGTAATAAAACAAATTCTAAATTAGGTCTTCCAGATGCTCATATTCTGTGAAGGATTACGTTATTCAAAACTGAATGGCTCTAGGTACCGTTGTTTCATCACAATGTGAGAAACATACATGCATTTAGGCAGATTCTTCATTATTTATTTTCTTTTAATATAATAAAGGGCGATAATATTTGGTGGCAACAATTTACAAAGTGAGTAGCCGTTTATAGTGAATCAACGCAGAATGCTGAAACGAAATGAATTCTTTCTGGACAAATTTCCGCTTTGGACTAATAAAGACTACGATCTAAATTTTTCAAAATATTGATCCCACAAAGGCATTCAGCGAAACAACGTATACACATTTTGCTATAAATTTCAGGACGCAAAGAACACATAGTTAATACTAAGAAATGAGAACAGATTTTATAAAATTTAAACATACTGCCCTTAAAAAAATTGATGTATAAAAAGACAATTTTATTGACACATTCTAATTTTGAAGTACATTACTTAGCAAATAATTGCTCAAATTAATTAAACACATATCAGTCAAAAAGAAAGCTTTTCAGGTATAATGGGCGAATCAGTTGCTTAGTAAGTTTTACGCCTTTGTGTTGCTTATTCAAATAATTAAAAATCGTTTTTATCATTATGACTGTTGTTTAGGATAATTTTGTAGCCTTCAGTTCCCTAAATTCCCCTCGCCTAGAATTTTGTATAAGACTGAATTCATTTAAGGAAAACTATCATTCTGTTACTGATAATTATTACTTTATTTTGTCCTTCAGGCGCACATTTCTTTACCCTTCATAAAACATCTAATTCTCTTTTTGCCTTTAAAAACTGTTAAAAGTAAATGACAGATGTAAAAATGCTTTTCTTAATGCTGTAAAATCTGGAAGATAAAAACTGGAAGCTTGCCATTAGCAGTTTTATTTTGCTTAATAGAAGAGCAAAAAGAAGAAGGACATGCGAGTAAATTGTGACGAATGTTAAAAATAACTGCTTCTTTCGACACTTGCTACAAAGTCTACTCAACGTACTCTCAGATGCATTCGTGGAGTTATGAAAGTAGAAGATAAGTGTTTCATGTACGATTTAATTTCAATAAAA